TTATATTAAGTGAAACCACAATTGACATCTAAATATAAGAAAATATTAATGCTATTTGATATTTTCTTAATGTTACCACAAGTTCAAAGTCCTGATCATCAGAGTAATTAGCCCAAATTACATGGAGAGATGATGCCTTCAGACAGTTAGAAGATGCTTTCCTGTCTGTGCAAACAATATAGCCTAAAATAATTTAAATGTACAATTCAGATATTTCAATATACAGTATGTAAAGGAAACGGGGAACCTCATTACTGTAAACCCAAGTCCTTTAGCCAGGTTGACATGCTTATTTGTGATCCTTTTAGCCAAAATGCTATATTACAAACAAATCCCAATCCCGTGATCTATTGTGCAGTAACCATCTCAATTTGATTGCTTGATTTCTTTCATTGCTTTTGAGTTTTGGCCCCAGTTTTACTTTCTGTGAAACTCTCAGACTATTTATACTGCGAAGCTGTGGATAGGAAAGAGGGCTCTCGCTGCCTCTTGAAACTTGTACCACAAAGTAATCCATTAATACTGCCACATTGGAAGAGTCATGTCGTACAGTTCTTTGTTTACCTCAATGCAAATGAGAGCATAATGACCTGCCTCTTTGAAGCATAGTATATGTCTGCCCTGTCTTGTGGGGAAATAACTGTTTACATGTCTTAGTCCTAAAGTGGGCATCTTTGAATCCGATCAGATGTATATGTAAACTGCTATATATGATAGTCCCTGTTTATATTTACCTGAGATCTACCAGTAGACCTAGATTCCTGCATTGGCCACAAATGAAAGACGCTGTCGAGCTATGGTCAAGGGTTCACATACCTATTTTAAACAATATAGTCAACCATTTGTTTTAAAACCACTCCAGAAACAGTGTTCAAAGTGGTGAGCAAACTTTAATACATTCACAACTTTCAAATTTATGATGGTGTCAGAAACCACAGTAGCTTATTTATAAATATTTAATGATTGTAATGATTTTTTTTTATTAAGGACAGATGCCTCAACTGTCTATAACTGTATGTATGGAGTATATAGAATAAAGCAAAACTTTATTAGAACATTTCACTGTGTCCATGTGTTGGGTTCATAAGTGATTATCTGACACGTTAATAGCAGCAGTAGTAGCAGCAGTCAAGGCTATCTGTTTAAAAGCTTTGATCTGAAAGCAGTTCACCTGAACAGGCATTAAATATACAGGTGGTGTGAAATTATCAGTTGTATGTCTATAGATGCCAAATTTATTTCAGACATGATAGGTAAGAGAGTGGTGTCATGTCTCCTGTGGTTTGTATCTTTTAACAGTCTGCAGTGGAATTGCTCTACGTGAGGAACTGGCCTTCTTAGTCTTGTCTACAGAGGTGAACAATTTTGAAACATCTGTGTTTTGAAACACATTGCATAACATCTTGATTCCCCTTCAAGAACATTTTAGCAGGAAAGTTAAGAGTGCACAGCCATAGAAAGTTCACGGTTACTCATACCGTGCTGTATTCCCACCGAAAGCATGTGACTGTGCCATTTCCCCTTCTGTGCTCTTCTGTAAGTCTGAGGTGAGAATGTGTTCGTTGTGTCCAGGGTATGGAACAACTTCTTTCGTAATGTAGAATGAAGTTGGATGGACTCCATTTAAGCCACCAGGGTATGTAAGTACTCGGAAATGCTAAGACAGCTCCTCATTTTATGCCTTTGAGTTGTTGTTTTTATGTGTTGTGGAGTTTACAGGCCACAGACCTGAAGTTTACCAGTGGGATTTTGGGAACATTTTGTATGTTTGTAGATTCTGGGCTGTAGGCAGCTGATTAATAGTTTTCCTGCCAGTCCTGGAAAATGTCGGTCATAATCTGTAATGCTGTGGGCATTGTCTTGCACTGCATTTTTGCAGTGGCCATATAATTAATGACAATTGACCACACGCCCCTCCTTTGAACACGGGTGTCCCACTGTCCGCTAATAAGCGCAGCAGTGTTTGCTCCTATGCCTTAGTTGCATATCTCCTTTAATTTAGCAAATGTTCCATTTTACCTTCTGGAGTGAGACATCTACTCATGATGAGAAAGTATATTCCAGTGTTGGAGCTAGACAGTGACAATATCTGTATCAGTTGCTGTGCTTCCTTCCCACATAAAAAGTCCTAAGTCCTGTTTTTAAAGTGTATATTTTAAACAGTATAAAACTGCTTAGTTCTATTTCATTAATGCATTTATCTTTGTATGCATATGAAGATTATTAGAAATCTTACACACCTCATACTGCATGTTGATGAGATTGTTGAAGTAAGACAAGTAAATTGGATTTAAATTGAGAATTTTACATTTTGATAAAACAAGTTGTATATTTTTAGTCCACAGTATATTTTCACTTCTTTATTTGTTCATTTAAAGGGGAAATGTATTTTTACATTTCAGGGTTAGAGAAAATCGGCATTGTTGAGTGCATTTCAAACCGCAGTGAAAGTAAAATGTACACAGTAACGTGTAAAACCTCCAATTTGCATCACAAAATAGACTAAATTTCCATGTATGTGCGGCAATATATTCTGTAATTCAAAACGAGGTATCCACACTTCTGGGGAGGTGAAGCATCCCTATTACATTGTAAACAAACAGACTTGTGAATACATCTCTTAATCCAATAGAAATATTGCTCTCGACTGCGAGATGGCTTTGCTGATCAATACAACATACTTGATAACTTTGCATGCAGATCACGTTGGAACATTTCTGCAGTGAAATGTTTGCTGCACAACCTGTTTTTATTTACTCGTAAATATAATTACATTACACTACAGTGACTAGTGAGCAGGAAGGGCCGCTCCACATCACAATTTGTGCAAACTATTGTTCTAGTCCATGGTGAGACAAATGGTTTAGACAACAATGGAGGCCATAGAGTACTTTCACAAAGTTCACAATTTTATGCTTAATTTGTATTTGTAATGTTGTGATACTGTCAATTAATTAATTTTGTTACTAAGATTTAATAACCGGTCTGAGAAATTGGGATTGCAGTTCCCCTTTAAAGCAGTTTAAAGCAGTTTGTGTTGGTTTTAAAGTGGTCTTTGAGTTTGAAGTTCACATTTTCTTTTATAGGTTTTGGTAGGAAAATGATTAGCCTGTGAGATTTCTGGTTTAATTAGCGTTGTGAAAGTGTAGCTGGAGCTGCAATTGTGTACTTTAATGTTGTCTCTCTGAAGGTTTAGTATGTATAAAGACTACAATTTGTAATTTATGGAAACCATTATGAAAATATTTCTATGGAAATATTAGTAAACGTCTACTGCCCTCTCTAGTCTTGAGTTACTGATGAACTATTTCAGTGTAACTCATTAGCTGTTGATTTCCAGTCAGG